CCTGTTTGGAAACCAAGTTTTAAAAGTCCTTTTTTAATTCTTTTTTCTTTTTTTTCTGTGCTTTGTGAGTCTTGATGTTTGTTTGGAGTTTAAAAGCTAATCAGCTGCCGGCAACTCATTCTAAACGTCCACCAGGGAAAAGTTTTAAGGCCAGATATGATAAAGGCTGAGCTATTTGGTTGTTTTTGTCAAGGATAACGATGATGAAATCATTTAATTGACACTCCTTTATTTTCATGACGATAACGAGAACTGACGAGCTAAATGTGGATCTTTGGTGACTAAAACTTGCCGAGTCATGAGTGTGAGTTTTTGGCAACGAGACGAGACTAAATAAACATGAGCGGGTGGTCGGTCAGACATTTAAAATGCATCATTGTTCTGTAGTCTGCTGAGCAGTATCAGCCATGCTGCTGCATCTTGTTTGGCCCCGCCCCCACCTGCAGGCAGCACCGCTCATTCTGCAGGAGCAGATGGATCATGGCAGCAGTGGCAGGAGAGAAAATAACTGAATGATCCAGTCCGCTGAACTCTGACTAACTCTGCTCCTCCAGCTGAGCTTGTGCAGAAATGCGTCTTTGCGCGGCTTAGCTCAGAGTCTGCGCTTTACGCTCCACTCTGATGGTTCGCTCTCAGCAGTACGGCTCTTCCTGCTCTCGCTACTTAATAAACTAGATGTGGCTGATCATCCTCTGCCAGGCGTAAAAAAACCTTTGTCTAACTCTGGATTTTATTTCTTCCAGCTCACATGAAGTGATGCTAAACATTCTTTAATTTCTATTAAAAAATGAATCCCTACATTATATCCAAAGAAAATATTTTTTATTGCTTTCTGGATAAAGATCCAAATGAAAAGGTTAATAGATCTTTGAATATTTCTCTCTCATTGTTCTCATTTCTATTTAAATATGATGGAAATATTTTCTTGTATTGTCATTAAAACATTTTCTCTGTTTCCTTTAAATATCTCAACATTTTAGTAGTATATTCATTCAGTTTAGGTCTGGGTTGCCATGGCATTACGAGAGAGTTGTGGAGGATCTCTCGCTATTTTTTATATCAATCCCTGTGAATTTAAATCTACTTTGACCCCTGAGCAGCAGGAACCGAGGGGGAAATTGAAGAAATAATAGTAATAATAATAATAAGTAGAAAGAAGAATGTTTTTTTTCTTTGCCTTTTTGGAGAAATGCAGATTTTATAGATCTGTGTGTAATGCATAATTCACAGTAGATCAGGAAGTGTTTGCTTT